CCCCGCCAGGCCCGCGCGCCCTCCCCCCCCGCCGGGGGTGGGGGGGGGGGGGGGGGGGGGGCGGAGGGCGGCGCGAGCCCCCCATTCGCCCAACAGACACCGGGGCTCCGTCAAAGAAGGGCCGGGCGCATGCCAGATCTCCACCGCCAGGAGGTGGCTCCCGCGAAGGAGCACACGCATATCTTCCCCGCGCCTGGCTTTCTTCTCAAGGACCGGGGGGGCGGGGCGGGGCGAGTCGGGGCCAGCGGACAGCATGTAAGTCAGTGGAACCTCCTCCGCGGAGGGTCTCCCGAGGGAATGCGCGTGTCCCCCCCCCCCCGAAGGCAGACCCATGACAAGAGGACTCTCACGCGTCGGGCAGTCGCGCGGAGGTCCCGACCGCTGACAAAGATGCACACGCCCTGCTCTCACGCCCCTCGGCCCTTGCTCGTGCCCTGCCCCCGGGGGGCGGGGCGGGGCGAGTCGGGGCCAGCGGACAGCATGTAAGTCAGTGGAACCTCCTCCGCGGAGGGTCTCCCGAGGGAATGCGCGTGTCCCCCCCCCCCCGAAGGCAGACCCATGACAAGAGGACTCTCACGCGTCGGGCAGTCGCGCGGAGGTCCCGACCGCTGACAAAGATGCACACGCCCTGCTCTCACGCCCCTCGGCCCTTGCTCGTGCCCTGCCCCCGCCTCCACCGGCGTCCGACTCGGGATCCTTGTCGGTGGGAACATCTCGCACCTTGGGCGTCTGCCGTTGCCGGGGGGGGGGGGTCGCACCCACGTTTCGTTCCCGCCCCGCGCCCGCTCCCGCCTGCGCCCGGATCGCGCCGGGGCCACCCGGCATCGCAGCGCGCCCTCGGCCGGCGCACACATTCCCGTCAGCCCTAAAGGGGCGGTGTCCTTGCCCGGTCGGCCGCCCGGCCTCCGGTCTCCGGCCCCTTGAGAGACCCATCGGCAGGACAGGCTGCCATGCTGCTCCTTGATGCGGGGGCGGCTGCTTTTCCGTCGCACCCAGGAGCCCGCACCATTCCACCCCTGGAATTTGGCCCCCCGCCCGCCCGCTCGCCCGCCCGCCCGGGCTCGGCCCCGCGCCCTCGCGCCAGCTGTTGGGGGGCCCCTCGCAACAGGGAGAGGCTCCCGGCCGAGCGCCGAAACCCGCGAAGTCGTATGCCCCCCCCCCCCTTCCGCCCTCCCCCGCC